CTTGTGTGTGTGCATACACCCTCTGGTATTAAAGAAATCTAAAACTTTAGTGAGGCAAACAATATTGTCAAGACATAATACGAGAAGCCACAGAATGGGAGAAAATATTTGTAAATCATTCATCTGATAAGAACTTGTATACTTGTATACAGAATATGTAAAAAGCCCTTATGATTCAATAATTAAAACACAACCCAATTTTAAAATGAGCAAAGGATCTAAATAGACATTTCTCCAAAGAACATATATGAATATCTAATAAATACATGAAAAGATTTTCTTCTGGTTTTTTTTTTTTTTTTTTTTTTTTGAGAGAGAGAGATTTTTGTTATAGGGAATGTGCACTCACCTGAAACACAAATAGAAAGTAAGAAATCACCCCCCAGAGGGTATGTTACACTGCAACTCCTTTTCCTCCATTCTCCTCTCAGGATCTTGGGCATGCACACACACACATTTTTAGTGTGAGGTTTAAGCTGCCAGGTCTGGGACCCAAACCATGATCAACTACGTGGGAGTTCAACAACATAACCATCATGTCATCTGCTGGTCCAACATATGAAAACATTTTTAACACCCCTAGCCATTAGGCAAATGGAAATCAAAATCACAGAGATGTCAGTTCACACCCAACAGGGATACATACAAATTAGATGCCTTATACACTGCTAGTGGGAATGTAAAATGGTGCAACCATATTGGAAAACAGTTTGGTAGTTCCTCAAGATGTTTAACAGAGTAAATGATGACTCAGCAATTCCACTGTTAGGAAGAAATGAAAACCCAGAAGAAATGAAAACCTATGTCCACCTAAAAATGTGTACAATGATGGGACCAGTAGATGGTGTAACAGTCACTGGACTCTCATGTGGTTGACCAGGGTTTGAGTCCCAGACCCGATGGCTTAAAACTCATGCTGGGCGCATATGCATACATGCCCAAGATCCTGAGAGGAGAATAGAGCAGAAGGGATTGCAGCGTAGCCATCCCCTCTGGGGGTTGATTTCTTGCTTTCTATCTCTCTGTCTCTTCAGTGAGCACACACACCCTATAGCAAAAATCTCTAAAAAAAAAAAAAAAAAGTATAAAATGATATTTATACAAAATTATTCATAGTAGTCAAAGAGTGGAAATAATTCAATGTCTATCAACTGGTAAAAAGATAAACATAGTATATTTGTACAATAGAATATTATTTGGTAACAAAAAGAAACAAAATGTTGATATATATTACAACATAAAGGAACCTTGGAACTCAGACTAAGTGGTAGACCACATATACTTTGTGATTCCATTTAAATGAAATGTCTATAAGAGGCAAGTCCACAGAAAGTAAATCAGTGACTGCCTGGACCATGCAGAGAGGCCATGGAGTGACTTCTAATAAGTAAAGAGCACCTTTTGTAAAGAATAAAAAGTTCTAAAATTAGATTGTGATGACAGTTTCACGATTTTATAAATATCCTAAAAAAAATTGGATTGTATACTTTAAATGGGTAAATTATATGGCATGTGACTTATATCTCAACAAAGCTGCTTAAAAAAGAACAATTTAATTATCTTAGTAACAGTTCCATAATTAAATAAAATGAACTGATCCAAATGCCAAAATAAAATAGAAATTTCAATATGATTCCTCTAAATCAAAACAAAAGTGTAATTGCCTTAATATTTTTACAATATAAGTAGGTTAGATAAAAGATACATATTTTAAAATTTTTATTAAAGTACTTGGAACAATAGAGGAACAGGTAAATGATAGGGCTATGTGAAAATATGAGAAAAATTCCAAGAGGCTGTTGATTGGTTCTCAGGTCAGAACCAATTAGACAATGCTAACAGAAGCTGACATGCCTTTGAGCCCAAATGAACTTCACCAGGGCCTTATAATTTGAAAGCTGCCATAGAGTAAAAAGTGGAAAATACCATTAGACAGTTCCTTATTCTCTTAGATACACTTTTCCCTACTCAGGTAGTGTCAAAACAGACTCTTGAATGGACTTTCCTTCTAAAGCTGTTAAAACAACAATTGAGAAATAAAGAGACTTAGAGGGATAAAAAAGAATAATTGGGACAGCACCATGTCCTTGTGGTTAAGGGAGCTGGATCCCACATGACTGATCCCATGGTTCAAATCCAGGCCCTGACAGATTGAAAAACATGCCAGGAACATGTGCATGGGTGCCCCAAATCCCAAAAAGATGTAGAAATGAAATTGTGAAATGACCTTGCCCCATTAGGGGAGTGATCTCTCCCTCTTCTTCTCTCTGTCTCTCTAGTAAGCACATGTGCACTCTGGCAATTTTTTTTTTAAAAAAGAAAAGAATAAGATCCCTACAATAAGATATTCAGATGGACTTAAGGCCTTGGCAAAACTGCTGACACATTATTATTTTAAATTTAATATCCAGTGGGGGCTGGCAAGTGGCATGATGGTTGGGGGCAGTGGATTCCCACATGGCCAATCCCACAGTTCAAGTCAAAGACCTTGCAGATTTCTCTCTCTCTCATTCTGTCCCTCTCTAGTCAAATTAAAATAAAGTTAAATAAAATAGTTTTTTAAAAATTTAATATCCAGTCTGTTTCCTGAAAGTAAATACTATAGAAGGGGTCTTCAAAGCTTCATATAAAATATATGTTATGAAAAAAATTATGCATGGATTTCAAAATTATATATCAAAATAAACTCATACTTCAATTCCATTTTCTTGAAAACTGTCCAATCTCTTGATAGGTTAAAATTACATATATAGGGGCCAGCAGGTGGCATAGTAGTTAAAGTGCTGGATCCTACATGGCCAACCATGGTTCAAGTCTCAGTCATGGCAGCTTGAAACTCATGCCAGGCATGTGTGTGTACATGCCCAAAATCCCAAGAGGAGAATGGAGAAGGGATTGTGGCATGGCCATCCCCCCTCTCTGTCTCTGTCTCTCCAGTGAGTGTATGTGCCCTGTGGCAAAAAAAAAAAAACTAAAATAAAATTAGGTATGTGTAAATCAGTTGTGGTTGTACAATTCAAAATTGGAAATGGAATTGTGGTTTCTTACCAGAAAGTCAAAGAGTCAAAGATCTGTTAAATTAAAAAAAAAAAACCTAAGGAAGAAAACTAGTAATCTTTTTCTCTACCAAAAAATGCACTCAACATTGGAGATATGTGAGAGGGCCTAAATCTATTAAATCATTGCTTTGATATAGAAAGTCTTATAAAAACTGGGGGAAAATGTTAATTTTACAAATCAACTTCATACAATGAATTTGTAGATAAATAGCATGTAAAATAACCAAATAAACATGAATTCATGGGACCAGCAGTTAGTGTAATGGCTATGTCGCTGGACTCACATGTAGTCGACTGTGGTTCAAGTCCCGGACCCGGCAGCTTAAACTCACTTCGGGGGTGGGTGTGTGTGTGTGCGCGTGTGTGTGTGTGTGTGCCCAAGATCCTGAAAGAAGAAAGGAAGAGAAGTGAATGTAGTGTGACCATCTCTCTGGCTCTCTCTGTCTTTCTGGTGAGCACCTGTCTGGGTGGTGCGCCGAAAAAAAAAAAAAAAAAACCCTCTCCAAAAATAAGAAAGAAAGAAAGAAATAAACATGAATTCACTTTTATAAAATTTATAAGTAAAATAAATGATTCACTATTCATAACTTTCAGAGTCCCAACAATACAAGTCAAATAAACTTCTTGCCTCACTGTATCATCTAAAGGTATATTTTAGCAGATAGGTTTTCCTATTTCTTAACTTACTGTTTTAATTAAAATTTAAATGCAATTTAATATATTATTGTTACTTTAAGTTATTGTCTTTTCTGTGAACTTCCCTCAATCCAAGTTAATTCTGCAAGCTGCTTCCAAAAAGTTACATGTTTTCCTAATAGGAATTATGCTGGAAAACATTTTTCTTTCTTTGGAATTTCAAAATTATTATGCAAAAGGGACCAGCAGTTAGTGTAATGGCCATGTTGCTGAACTCCCATGTAGTCAACTGTGGTTCAAGTCCCGGACCTGGTGGCTTAAACTTACGCCGGGCGCGTGTGTGCATGCCCAAGATTCCAAGAGGAGAATGGAGGAGAAGGGATTGAGGCATGGTCATACCCGCTGGGGGGTGATTTCTCGCTTTCTATTTCTCTGTCTCTGTCTTTCTGGCGAGCGCACGCACCCTATAGCAAAAACCTCTCAAAAAAAAAAAAGTTATGCAATACGTCTCGCTTTATAGTCATGTCTTGTGAATCGTTACAGTAACTAGTAATGTTTCAAAAACTTGCCTTTTCAAAAAATGCACTTAAAAATGTTTAATTCAATGAATCTTATAAACTTTTTTTTTTTTTTAAATACAAGACCTCATTAAAAGATCGGGCAGCGTAGAACAGAAGTAAATTATGGCTTCAAGAATACTCTCCTGGGGCCAGCAAGTGACGTGGTGGTTAGAGCACTGGACTCCCACGTGGCCAACCATTGTTCTAGTCCCAGACCCCGTGGCTTCAAAATCACACTAGACACGTGTGCACTTCCTAAAATCCCAGGAGGAGAGTGAAAGAGAAGGGACTGAGGCATGGCCTTCCTCCCAGAGGGTGATTTCTCAGTTTCTCTCTGTCTCTCTGGTGAGAGCACATGCCCTAAGAAAAAAACCTTCAAAAAAAAAATGGAAAGAAAATTAACCTCATTTTTTTCTTTGATACATCTGTATTTCTTGGCCCAGCCATGGTGGCACATGCTGTTAAGATGCTGCTGCTCTGCAAACTGAGACACATAAGTGGCCTGGGTTAGATTCCTGACCCACCCTGAAGGTGAGGCACAGAGGCACATGCCTATTGTCCTAGCTACTTGGGAGGCTGAGGCAGAAAGATAGCAATATAACAAGACCTAGTCTTTAGAAACAATTTTTAAAATTTATTGACTCAAGCAATATTGTCCATAAGAAAATTAAAATACTCTATCATTTTAAAAAATGAGTCAAGATCCAACAAATCTTCAAAAAATAATTTAGAATTAAGCACTTACTTTTACTTGAAGATCCTCAGAACTTTCTGTCGACATGTACAAGGAAAGCAGAACTGGCAAAGTATTGGTGACCGCGACAGCCCGTGCGTGCTCTGGAGTGTGTCTCCCAATCTGTCCTAAGGCCCAAGCAGCAGCAGCCTTAATATGATCTTCTGGTTCTTCCGACAAGCAGACTGACAACTGGGGTACACCCTGCAGCGTTGATCAAAAGAGCAAGTATTATGAATCCAGAGCAGGATTAAAGAATCTTCTATGTCTCTCAAACATTAGAAGAAATCATTTCAGCCTTGATCCTTTTTTTCTTAAATCCTTCAATAAATGAGCACATCACAGGGGCTGTCATTTCTTAAGTCAATAAAATGACTAGAACTAAATTACCTTAATTATCTGTAACAATCCAACTAAACTAAAAAGAACTCTACTAGCTTTTACCTCCCAAATAGAGAGGCATTTAACCAAACAGCAGATGCCACACACTAGAAAATGGGCAAAACTAGATTCCACTGTGACAAACTAAAAATATTTAGAGTTTTAAAACCTTTCATTTTTCTGTTTAAATGTTAATTTAGAATCTTTAAAGAAGTAGTCTTTTCACCAAGTATAATAAATGTGAGACAAAATTACTACAGATTCAAAATCAAATGAATAATAATAAATGAGAATTGTAAGTGCCTTTTAGATGAAATATATTCACTAATACCTTTCCTGAAATAGTTCATAAATGATTTTTTAATCATTTTGTTTTGGGGGAACAGCAGTTGGCGTAACAGTTATGTCACTGGACTCCCATGTAGTTGCCTGCGGTTCAAGTCCTGGACCCGGTGGCTTAAGCTCATGTTGGACGCGTGTGCATGCATTCCCAAGATCCTGAGAGGAGAATGGAGGAGAAGGGATTGTGGTGTGGCCATCCCCCTGGGGGGGTGATTTCTCACTTTCTGTCTCTGTCTCTCTCTTATGGTGAGCACACACATCTTATAGCAAAAACCTCGCTAAAAAAGAAATAATAATAATAATAATGTTGTTCTGGGGCCGGTAGGTGGCATGGAGGTTAAGGTGTTGGACTCACACATGGCTAACCATGATTTGAGTCCCAGTTCTGGTGGCTTGTTTTCTCACTCTCCCTTTCTCTTGTCTGTCACTCTCTAGTAAAAATTTAAAAATAATAATAGATTAAAATAAATCTTTTAAAAATAATTTTGTTCTATAAAAAATAATAATAGATTAAAATAAATAAATCTTTTAAAAATAATTTTGTTCTATGTTTTATAGGTTTACCCATTTAAAAATTTTTGAATACTGGGGCCAGCAGGTGGCATGATGGTTAAGGTGCTGGATTCCCACATGCCCAACTGCGGTTCAAGTCCCAGATGTGGTGGCTTACTTCCTCACTTTCTCTCTCTCTCTCTGGTCAAATTTAAAAATAATAATGAATAAAAATTAAATAAACAATTATTTTTAAAAATATTATTGAATGTCGAAGTAGAAATGATTACTTATGTATATAAGCACATGCTTATACAAATAGCATATGCTTACATTTTGCATAGCAGACTTCAATTTTCATCTAAATAATAAAAACAATTAACTAACGGGCCCCTACTATATCACAGTTTATATACTCAAGGAAGAATCAGATAACCAAATAAAATTCTAATTCCAAGTTCTGTATAGGCATAATTGTCTAATTTGAGACTATAGCAATCACTTTACATTAAATTTAGTACTACAAAAGCCATATCACACAGTCATACTACCATAATAAAGGCCAAAATCAGCATACTTTTTTTTCTTCATCTTTTAATTTGGTTATTAAGACTGATTTCCTGGGACCAGCAGTTAGCGTAATAGCTATGTCGCTGAACTCTCACGTAGTCGACCGCGATTCGAGTCCCGGACCTGGTGGCTTAAACTCATGCCGGGCGCGTGTGCATGCGTGCCCAAGATCCCGAGAGGAGAATGGAGAAGGGATTGTGGCATGGCCATCCTCCCTGGAGGGTGATTTCCTGCTCTCGCTCTCTCTCTCTCTCTCTCTCTCTCTCTGTCTGGTGAGCACACGCACCC